CATCATCCACTTATTGCTGCTCCTGATGTTGAAAAAGAAGAATAAAAAAAAAACTACAACAACAATGTCCAATATACACATATTTGAAACATGCGTCCTTTCATAACATAAATTGTGCAACATAAGATTCCTTATGTATACAAAATAACATTGTATATCAAGAGGAAATACATATGTATAAGTGTATGTATGAAAGATTCGTTGTGTTTAATGCGTGGTAGTAAGTTACAAGTAACATCCCTGCAGTTCGGAATGGAACCTTCACAGACCACAATAATACTTTACTAGATTGCATAGGGTTGCATAAGTGGCGATTGACATCATCTTCTCTGTGTTTTGGAACTCGTATGTTTTGTCGAAGTGTTTTTCGTGAACACCTCCCATGACGGCCTTATTTCATGATGGTACTTTTACAACCACTGGGTTAGCTGATAGACGTCTCACTAGTGCTTTCTGTTTCAATTCTTGTACATGGTTCTGCTGTACCAGCACTTTGTTCAAGTACTCGAGCTATCTAATCTCTAGACCATTGTTGCAACGTTGCGTAACTTCTAAGTTGCAAAATCAGCACTTTCGTTTACAACCACACAGATAGAATTACCTCTGTTTAATCGGCAACAGTGCCTAGGGCCACAATCGGTAGACTGGACTAACGGTTTTGCTGCTACCGATCATATGACTCTCTGAATCGAACTCAGCTCAAATCATTCCAAGAAAAGACCGAGGATACATTTGACACCACCAGTTTATAGACCCGGCAGACTAGAGGTACTGATAGCACCTCTATCCCCCTTGGTTGCAAATACATCAATATGGGGGAAGTTCATCAAGGAACATGCCCTGGTGGAGAGGTATGTTTGTAACATGACTGTTGAAGTGCACCACCGCCCCATTGCGCTTCTTACACGCAGGTGGCAATTTATGTGTATGGAATTTCCGGCCCAGTATAGGTGCATTTTGCTCGAGTGCTCGAGCTATCTAATCTCTGACCATAGCAGTCCCGTTACTTAACTTCCGAAATGCAAAACATCACTTCCTTTTTCAAACACACAGATGGGATGGCCCCTGTTGAGTCGGCAACAGCACCTACAGACGTAACCGGTAGACCGAAGTACGCATCCATGAAATAAGCCGATACTTTGTTCTTACTCACAGTGATACACTGTTGTAATTCTGGTATGAACAGAGTTCACTCTGAACATACCTGGAAAAAGAAGGACAATCCAATGGTATCACTTGTATAAGATACCTTTCATCCATCACCATTGAACCCAGAACACTTCTCATTCATCCAACATTCCGACACACTTACTCTAGGTATACGGGTTAGCATATACAACACCAACTAATTTCCAACACTTAGTCCTACAGTCAATCCTCTGTGGAATATCTGTTGTCATTCGGCAACAGCACCGAACTTATCCCGAAATATAGATTTCAGCGTACATCAGTCTTTTAAACGCAACTCACTCTTCCCGCAGCCACTACGTGGATCCCGCAGGAACCATAACCAACTGAACAGCCAGAACAAGTCCTGCGGGCATAATATGATACTGGGCGCCCGTAGTACCATATTATGTGGTTCTCTGGTTAGACCACATGTCAAATCATACCAAGGACTAGCCGAGGAGTGAAGTGACATCACCAGTTTATAGCACCGACAGACTAGAGGTACTGGGATTGCAATACGCCAAGATGTGGCCCTTTCATCAAGGAAACATGCCCTGGTGGAGAGTTATGTTCGTGACAATTAACTTACTCTCTGCATTATCAAGAGTTAGACATTTGGAAAAAACATCTTTTTAAATTACTCCTTTTAAAACTGCTGGTTATACTTACATACATATGTAAGTATATAGTTTTATATATACATTATACAAATACATTAGCAGCTTATAATGTTACATTAAGTAACAATATAATATTGTTAGTGTATTATGTAAATAGTACTACACATGCACAATACATTTTCTCTCTTGGCACACGGATGGATGGATGCTTTGATAGAATTATTAGAAAAGCTGAAAACTTGATACATTTTCTCCATACAAGTGTAAATTTTACAAAATAATGGATGAAAATAGGAAAACTGAAAGAGTTTTTCTTTTCATGTTAAAATCAAAATTTAATTTTGTTAAAACGTGTGTCTGTTTGTGAGTTGGTTTGTGTCTAAAAGGCAAACAAAAAAGGAACTTTTTAAAAAGTTAGACAGACATGTTAGATGTTGTTTTTTTTTAATTAAGGAGGCCAGGTTTTAGGAAATATATACATATACATATGTTGGAGAAGAGTTGAGTATTATAACTTTAGAGTATTAAAGGAAAAGTAAATAACAGGTAACTAGTCTAGTGACTAGCTCTAAACATATGCATAGTTTTAACACTTTATCTGAAACAGGAACTATCACTTCAAGATTCAAATTTGTTTTACAAATCAAATTTTCTATGTGTCTTCTATAATAAATCAAAGTTTTTTTTTAGTTTTAATACTTTTTTATTAAACTTTAATTATATAGCAATAAAAATCGTCAAATTTGTTTATAATACATTTGTACTTCTTTGGTCACCTTAAAAGTGTGATTTTATCTAATAGCAAATAGCGGGTGCTTTTATATTTTGTCTATAGATTTATTTATGAGTGTGTGGAAAATGTTTATATTTCGACAACACTACAGATATACACACGTCTATAGACTGTAGACAAATACAATACAAATAACTAAAAAAAAAATAACCCAGCAAACTTAGGCATTAAAAAAGACTTGAAGTTTTAACTTTTCTAAGAAGCTTTAACATTTGATTTGGTTTAGATAGATCAACTTCTCCCTCCTTTTCCTTATAATAATCACTTTCATGCTTCTCTTGAAAAATTGTAATATTAGGAACTTCTATCTTTCACATACCTAATTTGAAAGTGAACTTTATTTTGTTTTAATTAGTGATTTTCAGGATCAATCTCGTAAACTAAGACACTTGCATGCTTTATTTGTTAGTTTTATGGATTTAACGCCTTTTTATATTCATTTTGATCACAGCTTTCTTCTGATATTTTCGCACAATTCCACAATTTCCGAAATGTATGAATTACTTTATCAAATCACTTCGGTTAGCAAAAGGCGAGTCCACCTTTGGTTTCACTTTTCACAAACCTTAAAAACCAGTTGGTAGCTTAGACTCTAGAAAGTTAGGAGTAGCAGAAAGTTGATCCGTCATTCCTAGGTCCTCTAAAAGATCACGTAATGAGACAAATTTCCTTTCTTTCGTGATAAAAAATTGAATAGGAAAAACCTGATAGTCTATATGAGATTAAGGACAGACGATAAAGTACTAATACATATCTTCAAATTAGCACGAGGGAGTCGTGTTTTCAAATTTTGAACTCATTTTTGTTACTGGCCCTGGTTTCACTTCAAAAGGAAGAGAAATTGGAATGTATATCGGATCATATCGGAAACCATTTCTTACTTTTCTTCTAAAAGAAGGGAGATTGATATGTGTATGGATATTTAAGAAGAAATTGGTTTCGAGACACATCTAGATTAGTAAGATCGAGAAAACATTCTAAGAGCAGAGAATTTGGAATGTGCAGGGTTTCATTTATAAGGGAGAGTCGAAACCATCTAAGAAAGTCTAATTAGAATGAGTGAATGAATGAATGAATGAATGAAGGTCTTCAGGTGTGAATTCGAAAAGTATAGAAGGAAGAATAGAAACTTTCTGAAATTCAAATTAGAATAAATGAAAGAATAAATCAAAAAAAGTTCTAGCTGTGAATTTTTACCAATGGGTTATAATCAATGACAATTTAAAGAGTTTTTTTTTTTAATCAAATCTTATTCTGAAATATTAAAAAACGAGTTTCTCGAGTAAAAAGAATTCAAACCATGTTCCAAAGTTTCCATTTTTGAGCTTCTGAAGTACAGTAGTTTGTTTTAAAGGAGAATGTACCTATAATGTTACAAATCAGAAAAAAAACACTTAGGCCGTTATAGCATCTACTTTACCAGAGTCTTCGGACAGACAGATTAGAATACTACCAACTAAACTAGTGTAGGCACTAGTTTCTGAAGCTAAATTGCGTTTAATGAAATACTTGCTTGAGGAGTTATCTCGCTGCAAACATCTCGGATAACAGTTTATTGTTTGTTGGGTTTAAGGTAACCAACTCGCAAAAATGTACACACATATTCCACATTAAAAGAAGAAAGATTATAAACATTTTTGAACTTCCGTGTTGTTCAAATTGAATTTGCTTTGCTGCACAAACATACGCACATACACACACACACACTGTTGCAAGCCAAAAATAACAACAACGAAGCATACACACAGGCATTTCGGATATTTTATACCTAATACAACTACAACAAATACTACAACTCCTTTTGCCAAAACGGCAAAATCAAGTGAGTGAGTACGGTTCAAATAAAAAAAAAAAAACACAAAAAGTACATACAAAAACAATTTTAGTGTAAATACCGGGGAGTATTATATATACAACAACAAAAAAAATACTTATAAAAAGTAAAAAAGAAAACATGAGAGGAAAACACTAAAAACATGCGGCGCACGCAAAAAATCAATAATTTTCGTACAGACGATTAGTTTTTTTGCATTTGTTTTTCACACACAGTAATTAATCAAATGGTTTTATAATGGCGTTTTTTAAACGAATAAATTCTAATAATGTTTTAGCAAAATTTGCATATTTATTAAAATTAATTAAGTTGTTTATTTGCAAAAAAGTATTATACATATTTTAACACTTCACAACACTATAACACGAGACACCTTTTTTACTACAAATTATTTTAGTTTTTTTTTTTTTGTGTATTTATTGTTTTTGTTGTATATGTTTTTTGTACTTTTTTGTACTCTCCATCTGTCAGTTTATTTTAAAACATGCAGACTCTGCTTTTTTTCATTTATTTTGTTATTCTTTTTTGCATTTTCATTGTACACTTTTCATATGTATTTACTTTTTTTTTTTCACTTACTTACCTTTTTTTCTATGTGTATGATGGAATGGGCCCCAAACTTGTGAAAGAAGTTGAAAATATGAACAGCAGGGTGTTAGAAGGGCAAAAACAGCAAGGGAATCTATTTATTGTGTGTGTTTGTGTAAATAAATATGTCTCTTCTAATGCGTCCAGAATTACAACAATTTTCCTTGGAAACTTTAAACAGCAAATCTATTTTAAAACTTTAAACTGCAAAATTGATATGGCCTTTTTCTAAAAAAGTATTCTTTTACAAAATTTCACTTAAAATTTTTCTTTCAACTTTATTTTCTGCTTCTTGTAGTTGTTTCTTTTAGCTGAAGTTTTAGTATTTTTAGACAACACTTTTTTTTTTCTTAAAATTTAATTCTTTTAAGCCAATACCATATTCTTTTATAGTATTCTTAAAATTCCTTGCAATTACACTTTACACTAAAGGAATTTTTTATAATTTAGTAGCCGATGTTTTTAATTAAAATTCACTTCTTTTTCTTATTTGCTTCCTTTTTAGCTTGTGTCTCGTATTCATATATTAAAAAATAAATTTTGTTCGTCAAAAACTACGCGCACAAAAGACCAAAACGTAGTTGTTGGAGCACGCACAACTCGCAATTGAATTGGTTTGGTTGGTAATCAAGTTGGAAAGTAAATGCAGCCAGAGCTATACAGGCAGGCAGGCAGACAGACAATAACCAACAACTACCACAATATTACACGGCTACTAACTAAAAATAAAGCCACAAAAGAAAACAGACAAAAAAGGAGTGCTCTCTTTACTGTAAAAGAGAGAATGAAATTTTTGTACTTTACTAATTTGACAACTGACTAGCTGTGTGTGTCTGTCTGTCTGTCATTATTACTTGTCTTTGCTTTTACTTCATTTTCTTTTAAATTTTAAGGGCCAAATAACGTATATTAAAGTTCTTTTTTGTTTGAACACTTTTTTGTAGTTGTTATTTTTATATTATAATTTAAATTTTAATTTATCGTTTGAATTAATTTTCAGTTTCCACTAAACACTAACTAGATTTTATTTAATATTTGTTAACAGCTGTTTTTTCCTATTAACATGTTTTAGTAGTACTTTAGTACCGCACTAAGTTAAGAGAGAGAGAGACAACAAAACCGTTGAAAACAAGAGAGCATGAGCAGCACAATACGCACTTTACAACACTGTCACAGAGTTGGGAAATTGTGATTAATAGTGACAAAATATTAAATTATTAAAAACAGAAAATTTATTAAAAATTCCAAATTTTTCAGGAAAAAAACAAGTTAATATATATAGTTGGGCATGGCCGACTATATGATACCCTACTTGAGTAAGTAGTATGTTAAAAATGTAGATTATTTTTTATAGTAAAGTTTTTAAGTTATTTTTTGTCTTAATTCCGAAATTTGTTAAAATACAACTGGTTGACAAAAAAGTGATTTTCTGAAAATGGGTAAAAAGGTAAAGATCCTTATAAATGTTGTTCACGAAACATTATATTTAAGTCAAAATATAAAACCCAAAAAAAACAGATTTTCATACAAATAAATTTGTCATTCAACTTAGATTTTTCTCTAAAATTCGATTTTCCCTTAAAATATGGTTTTCATTAGAAGTTCCCAAAATATTTTAATTTCAATAAAACCCCAATCTATTAAAAATCAGATTTTTCACTAAAACACAATTTTTTCCAAAATTTACTTGAACTCCAAATATTGAATAAAAAACATATTTTATTAAAATTCATTTAATAACTTAACATCCATAAAAATTCAATTTTGCAAAAATATAAAATTTTCTAAAAAATTTCAATAAAAACTCGGACTTTTACTAAAAACCCGATTTACCACCATTATAAACTAAAAGAAATCATTATGTATTAAATACTAAATTTTGTAAAATATAATGTTTAAATTATAAACTAAAAGAAATCATTTTGTATTAAATACTAAATTTTGCAAAATATAATGATTAAATTGTTTCAGCAAAAAAATAAAAGATTTTTACAAAAAATATAAATTTTGTATTCTTATTAGCTACTTTTGCTAATAAGATTTATCGATACTTTGTATTTATTGTTATCTCCCAATTACCATCACTAGTATTAACTACTCTGCTAAGACGTTCACTGAACATACTACAAACAGCTGTTTTGCTTCTTGTTCTTCTTTCCTATTGCATGTGAAACGATTACCGCAGCATAAAATTTAATAATTTTAAAATTGAATTAAAAAAATTGCAATAAAATAAAACATGTTTACAAATATTCTACAAAAGTAAGTTGGTCAAATGTTTAGTAAATCACATCTCAATTAAATTTAAAACAATTTTCATTCATTTTTATGTCAGAACCTGCGCCACCCTTAGCAACTATGGACAAATGATGTTTACCCGTGAGGCTCATGTCTTTAATAGAGCTGTGCTGAAATGTAAAGTTCGTTGCCACTTTCCCAAGCCACGCGAAGTGAAACGTATCAAGGTGCACGGTTGGGAGGCACGCATGTCAACAGAAGGTGGCCGCCGTGTCTTAATGAGACGTATTTTGAAGGGTCGTTATGATTTGGCACATTAGAGAAGAATTTGTTGCTTGTTGAAAAATAAAAAAAAAGAAATAGTTTAATTTTAAAAATTAAAATAGTTTTTTTTTATTTAATAAATTAAATATATTCCTTATAAAAAGAAAACGAAACAAAAAAAAAATAACTAAAAAGTAAAAAGAGGAACTTCTTAATCTAACGTTTTATGTTTGCCCGACAGAAATTTACGTGGACGATGGTAGATTTGTTTAATAGCTTTAGAAGCATTCGCCGCTATGGTATTATAAACAAATGGAGCAGTATTATTAACACGACAACCCTGATTAGTGAAAAGTGAAGTGGGTAAAGGCATCTCGCCTAAAGCCACACAATTAACCTGCTTTAATTGGTTGTAAGGTACAGCGGGTATAAGATACAATTGCTGAACATGGAAATCGATAGCTCGTACAACACCTGGTAGAAAAACATATTCATTAATAGATATACATATATAGAAAATATTTCATTAAAACACACTTACCAATGCCTAGACATTTTAAAGGTTTATCATCATCCTGATGATGACACAAATAGACTAGATTTGCTTCCACAGATTTAGCCAACTCTTCCTTAGAGATGGAACCGGTATTTTCCAAGAGAGTGACAATTTTCAAGTCATTTAAAGAAGCACTGTAAAGATGCAATTTTGTTAATAACATGAACAAAAGTTTAGTATGTTAATAATTTACCTTAAAGGCTTAATATCTGTTAACCATTCTGCGTGACCCTGCAGAGCTTGACTAAGACGAGCCAATAGCATGGCATAACGCATATCTTTGGCACTCATTTCCCATTCTTTTTGATAACGTGATTCCTGTTGTACAGCCGATTGCCAAACATGTAAACGATAATTTGGTTTGTCTCCACCTTCCTCTGAGAACATTATGCGCGGTACTTGACTCAAAACATGAGCATGTAAAATGCTATCAAAATTATTAATCTCTTTCGAACTTTGTAATTGTATTAGATCGGTTAGAGGGAGTTCTTGAACTATAGCTGATATAAGCTCTAAACCAAAACCTTTATTATAGCCCATGGTGTTAATTATCCAGGGTATGTTGTTGTAAGCTTCTTGAGCCTTACAGTAAGCAATCAATGCACGTACTGCCTCCATATACTTATGAGCACATAAAGCTATATTGGTGTGTCCCACGGCAAAGGATATTTCTGGCTGCAGATTTAGCATAAAGCCGGGCCCTAATAAGGGTTGTTCAACTACAGTGCAGGAAACTGTTTGAGGCACAAACACTTCTGGTTGTCCTATATCCAAATCAATTAAAAGTACTTTTTGTGGCAAAACACGATTGATCAAGTATCTTAAAAGAGTAGATTTGCCCACACTTTTACCACCAGCCAGCAAGACACGAGATTTATTAGTTACATTGATTTGCTGCCACTGTTGGGGCAAACGTAAACATTTCTGCTCCTGCACAGAAGTGTTAATCATGCAACGTAATAGATATTCCGTATTATAAAGTGGACGTTCGTTATTGATGTTGTTAATGTTGGGAAAGACGTTTTCATTCATGAATTTTTTAAATTGTTGTACCAACTTTTTCCTGACCTCATTACGTTTAAGCAAAACTACAGCATCAGTTTCGTGGTTATAGTTGTCGTTTATGCTTTTCAAATCATTCAAAGCGAAATGTTGTTCATAGGATTTTAAGGTTTGCTCTAAGTTTTCCTTGTTTTTGTTATTCCTCACACTAGAGGGGGAAATTTCTATTTGACTACAGCCTCTGGGAGAGAATATTTCAACTTCGGTGTTTAGTTTTAGATCATGACCATAGACTTGCACATTACCAGCTAATAAAGTTAAACGTACGGTGCCATAGATATAAAAAGGATCTTTCAGTAAAACTATTACTAAATTGGAATCCAAAGCATTAAAGAATTTTGTTTTATAATCTGCTAGACTTTGTCCTGTAGATTTGGTAACTTTGGTGGCCTGTTGTTCTTGAGCTTCTAATATCTCAACATCTTGTTGCATTTCTTCTACATTTGCTTCTTTAACTGCTGCTGGTTGTTTGGGATCAGTTTCAACTTCTTTTTCTTGTTCCTCTATATTACTTGTTTCTTCAGTTGATTCATTAGTTAGAACATTATCTTCCTTTTCTTTTACATCCTCCAACATTTTAAATACCTTCTTATTTATAATCGTTGTACTTAAAATACTACTTTTAGTCTTTAAATCCACATTTTCATACAGTTTTAAAGAAGGTATTTGTTTGATATCATCATTTAATCTGAAATCTGTATGATCTTCGGTTTTATCAGCCTTTCGTTCACATTCATAACCGGTAGCATCAATTACATCAACTTTGTGTTTTTTATTCCAAATATTTTCATCAATACTATCATCACTTTCGCTGTCTTCTTGGCCTCTATTTAGATACTTTTCATTGATATCTTCTGATAGCAAAGAATCAGCATCATCGGAATTTATTTCAGTATATTCACTACCCAGACTCACATCATCCATATCATCGTTCTGCTCATACTCTTCCATTGATTCATCATCATAATTTTGTTCCTCCTCCTCTTCGTCCTCTAATTCTTCTTCTACTCCTCCTTCATCATCATCATCTGTTTCTTCATTTGGATTATACAATTGAAAACCATCTTCATCGACTATTGGCACTAGTTTTGGACAATCCTCAGTGTCACTGTTTGTTATTGTTGTTTCCCTTGTTATTGTCTCCTCCTTTTTGTGGAATGTTAGTGCTTTTAAAGATTTCTCTTCGTATTTTAATTTTAACAATTCTTCTTTTTCATATCCCTTTGGTTGGTTTATAATTTTAACCATATTCTTCTCTTCTATCTCAATTATTTGGGCGTCTTCGTTTTCACTGTCAAAGGATACATTATGCTCGGGTCTTAAGTCATGTTTGGTGGCTGTTCCTAAAATAAGGAAAGATTTTTTTTAATAAATATCATTGACTATAGTGAAAATAACTTTTATAAAATGTTTGCTTCGAATAAACTTTACTAAACAAAAGTTGTTATTTTTGCGAAAAAAAAAAGTTTTTTGAGAAGAGCTTTTTCTGGTTTTTATAAAAAATCTTTTGAAAAGCTTTTGAGAAATAATTTTTATAGAAAATCTTTTAATAACAGCTTTTTACGGCAAATCTATTGAAAATAGCTTTTTTAAGGAGATTTTAAGAAGAGCTTTTAATGGGGGAAAAGCTTTTGGGAAAGTATTTTTTAAGAAAAAAGTTTTTTGGAAGTTTTTTAAGAAATAAGCTTTTAGAAAGTTTTTGTTAGGAAAAAGTTATTTTAAGAAGAAAATAAACGTTTTTCTTTAAGTTATGTTTTTTTAGTTTTAGTTTAGTTTTAGCAAAAAAGCTTTTTTTAGTAAAAAAATTTCTGGAAAAACTTCGTTTAATAAAACAGATTTTTTGCAAAAAAAAAAAATAAACTTTATAAATATCAGCTTTCTTTACCTCTATGTATAATCAAATCCTCTGGAATATGTTTTGGCAACTCATAGTCATCATCATCTTCTACATCATGGAAATCATAAGAACTATTGTTATAATTCGAAGAATAATCATCTTCACTGTCCATTGAATAATTATAACTATCTTCATCCTCCTCATAATCATTTTCATCGAAATCTGTATAGTCTTCTTCTTCCTCCTCTTCCTCTTCATCCTCCGAATCACTATAGTAATCATTATAGTTATCTTCATCACTATCATAATATTCCTCTTCACTGCCCATAGATTCATTATTTTCATATTGTTCTAGCTGTGTTTGGGAATCTCCATTATATGCTTCTTCTGGTGTTAAGTCTACGGAATTTATTTCCGTTATGCTAATATCATCATCATCTTCATCATTGCTACTGCTTTCCTCTTGATTCCAATAGTTCCACTCCATATCGTCTTCTTCCTCACCGTCTGAATCAAAATCACCACCCATTACACAGCCTGTCATGCCATTGATATTAAATTTATCTTCAGCATTACTATCACCATCAAATTCATTCTCTAATTTAGAGGATAATGAGACTTGAGTTATGTTGTTGTCTTTAGGTTTCTTGACTTTTTTCTGATTGGATTTTTTACTAGTATTTTCCTTTGTCTCCTTAGATTTATTTACCAATTTGGGTTTTTTCTTTGCACTGATAATGTCCTCCTCCTTAAATAAGTTTTCAGTGGCAGCACGTTTTTTGGCTTTCTTCTTTTGATTGTTATTCATCTTAGTTTCGACATTATTGTTTTTAGGAGTTTGTTGTTGATTTTGAGATTTTTGCTGAGATTTCTTTTTGGACTCTGCTAAAGTTTTCTTCACATTTTCCTTTACCATTTTAGGCTTTTGTTTTAAATCATTTTTAACTTTATTGGCCACTTCCTTTTCAATTTTATTCTGTTGTGGCTCATGCTTTAATTTCTTTTTGTTCTTATTAACCGTGACCTTTTCGTTTCTCTTCTGCGGCGGATTTTGGTTTAATTGCTTTGTATTCTTACTGATAGTTGCCTTTTCAATTCCTTTCTGTGGCGGACTTTGCTTCAATGTCTCATTGTCTTTAGTGATCTTTTTCGTTTCAATTTCTTTCTGTTGAGAATTTTGTTTTAAATAATTTTTGTTGTTATTGGACTTTTCCATATTCTTCGTTTTTGCAGTAGGTGAGACTTTGACATTAGACTTTTCATTCATGACTTTATTCACCTTTTCTTGTTTAATTATTTTTGTAACTTTAGTTTTAATTTCTTGCAGTGTGGGGGAGTTTGTAGTATTATCCTTTTCAGTCTTTGTTGTTGGGGAAGTTTGTGCTTTATTTTTTAATTTATTCACTTTTAATTTAACCTTATTTTCCTCAACCGTTGGTGATTTTGTTGAATTTTCATTTTTCCTTTCTGAAGCCGTTTTCTTGGGGCTTTTTACAGGACCATTTTGTTTGCTGGAGTCATCCGTCATTGGACTTTTATTTACAACTGTCTGCTGTTTCTTTAAGTTCTTAGTTATGGCTTTTGCTTGATTTTGTTTTAATTTGTCGCCCTTAACTTGTTGCTTCTTTTGTCCTTCGATCGGTTGTTCCTTCGTCTGTTTATTTTTAATCAGCTTATTATTTTTCATTTTGTTAGGCTTACCGGCTCCAGACTCTTCTAGATATTCTTGCCTTTGAAATAGTTTTTGCAACCTTTTTCTTAATTTCTCTTTTTCCTGTGGTGATGTTATGCTTGGCATTTTTTTTTTCTTCAGAAAAGGATTAAGAGTTTTCTATTCCTTTTTATTGAAAATTTGTAATTATTAAAAAAAAAAAAAACGATGAAAATTACTTTAAAAACAAGAACGTGCACGATTCGAATTGATAAACAAAAGGTAGCACATGTTACCAGAGTTGCCTGGCAACTTTTCTACTAAAGTACTTTATTGTGCAACAATGTGAGTGCGTGTGTCTGTGATATATACGAAAGTTCGTTGTTATATTTCTTCACACAAACACATATCGTCACCTGAAATGCAAAAAGGCGTAACAACCAAACAATTTCAAAATACATGTTGTTGCAAATTTTTAGAATCAAAAATATCGAGAATAAAAAATAAAATGACGTTTTTTATAACAAAAATAACACACAACGCAATGAAACCAACAAACATAAAAACAAACGAAACAAAATACACAAAACAATAAAAACAATACACAAAAGCAAGGTTGGCAACCGTTATCGCTAAGCTATCGTTACCGCTAAAATACCTTTTCAGCACAACTACCGTTACCGCTAATATACCCATATCGAAATAAGCCAAAATACCGATAACCCTAAAATATCAATACCGAAATAAGCTAAAATACCGATAACGCTAAAATACCAATACCGAAATAAGCTAAATTACCGATAACGCTAAAATACCAATACCGATATCTTATTAAAAAGAAATAAAATTTCCAAAGTAAGTAAATATTCACTTTATTAATATCCCTATAAGAACAGTGACAGTCATTTGACCGGTCAATTGACTGTCACTACTGAGAATATACCCATCATTGCGTAGAACAAAGCTCCCATCACTTTCTTAAGGGCAATATGTAAAAAGTGATGGAAACATGTGTGTACATGTGATGTTGCATCACCCTCGCACTTATGAATTCTATCGACTTTAAAACATATATTTGAGCTGCTCACTCTTTTGTTGTTTACTAATCATGGATGATATAAATATTAGTCATGATTGACTAATCATGCTTGATGGATATATCCATCACAGTTAACAAATAAAAAAATGATGCATTAATCGGTCATTGTTGACTAATCACACTTGATGAATATATCCGACAAATCTGACGGCTATACCAATTTATAATAAAACACAATTTATTGATATTTTAATATATATATATTGTTAATTTTATTAATATAGTAATCATATACATAAATTACCAGTCTTTTCACCATTTTACATATCTCGTAGAATCTTAAGTCCTCTGATGCTCCTATTAATTTGTGGAAATAAGTTGTCTGTAAAGAAATACATAAGTATTCATAAATATCGAAATATAAAAATCATAAGTACATATTTATGTTACCATTGATTGATTAAACTCCGAATTGTTTATCTTCTGATCCACTTCCTGAACTTTTTTAAAATTTAGTTTATAATAATTCTCTTTATTTTTAATAATTTAAAGACTTTGTAATTTTTTTATTTTTTCGCTTCTTGATCTTTGGCTTTCGCAGAAACAATTAATTTGTAACGACGAAAAATACAACTCTGTAACACAGTGACAGTCATTTGATCGGTCATTTGGCTGTCATTGTTGATCAAAATATAAATTTTAATACATTTTAATCAAAATGTAGTTGTTTCATTCTTTCATATGCAAATTCAACCCTATACCACACATTGGGTCCAGTAACGGTCATTTTACCGGTCATTTGACTGTCATTGTTGATGGAATCATCCATTAATTTTTTTTTTTCGACAATTCTATAAAAAAAATGTTGCGTGTGTGTTAGTAAAATCATTTTGTATGTGTTAGTTTCGGTCATTCATTTCTTATAGGGATTGTTAATATCACTGGCGATTTTTCATTTCTTCCTCAAACAATGGCAACCTTCTTTTTATACCCACCATCAAAAAAGGAGGGATGTATTTCTGAATTGCTGAGTTTAATCGCGATACTAATGGTTATAAATCAATATTTGGACGTTTAAGATATCTTTATATCCTCCACCACCATCAGTGGTGATAGAGGGTATATATAACTTTGTCCCAACAAAGTATATATATTCTTGATCCTTATGAAATTCTGAGTCGTCTGTCCGTCGGTCTGTCTGTTTGTCTGTGTAAAACACGCGCACGTTAAAATTAAGCACGAAAATTCACCCAGCACGTTCTTTATTATCCGGTACAGTTTGGTATTGAAAATCAGTAAAATCGGTTCACGATGTAAAAAGTTATGAGTAAAAATTTCAGACTACATCGAAAAAAATAACGTTCTTTTTCCCAATTCTGAAGTAGTTTTCTCAGAAACTACCACAGATATTTCGATGAATTTTGTCGCACATTACTTTTTTGTGCCAGGGATCAAGTGTGTTCAATTGATCCAATATTTCCCATAGCCCCCATACAAAGGTGTATACTCCCGGAAATTAGTTTATCGTTAATAACTCCCTCAAAAATATCGGTATCAACACAAAATTTTGTACATAAAACTATAATATGAATAGAAATCATACTAGCTCCCATATAAGGCCCTCTTCCGAAAATCATTTAAACTCAAATATTCCATTGTCAAATAAAGCTATCTTGATAAAATTCGACACAAATAAGTTTTGTGTACATACATATGAATCACTCTACGAAATTTTTCTGGAGAGGACCGTAATTGGTCATAGCTCCTATATAAGGTCCACTTTCATTAATAATTCATTAATAAATCTATTGGAGTAATATTCGACTTGAATTTTTTGTTTGCATATACATCATTATACGAAATTTTTTCTTGATAGGTCCATAATTGGTCACAACTCCCATATAAAGATCATTTCCGAAAATTACTTAAACGCACATTGACAATCAAAGTCACCGGGATCAAATTCGACATAAATGTGTATTTTGTATATATAAATCGTTATACGGAATTTTACTTCTGAAAATCACTTAATACCACTTAATTCATTACTAAATGATTATATCCAGATAAAATTCGACATGAGTATGTTTTGTATAGATAAATCATTATATTAAAATGTTTGCAACTGGCCTTTTAATATAAAATTTTATGAACCTAATCGAAATTAGTTCCACATATGCATAAATATTAGTACCCTCACTACGGAAACAAAAATTTTGAGAAGTTATGTAAAAATTAGATAGTTAAATGGGTTTTAATAAAAAGTAGCTTGCTGGTGAAGGATATTTAAGATTCGGCATAGCCGAATCGAGATTGCTTTTATTCCTATATAAAACTTAATTGTGCCAATTTTTGGAGAGATAGTAGTATATTTGACGTAGTTTCGAGTTAAAAATCCCAAATCGGAAGTTCTGGTTGTATGGGGACTAGGATAAATAAGTACTTTGCATCTGTGCTGATGTTTGTAACGCATAAAAATATTGGACCTACACCCACTTTAAAGTATACCGATCTAACTGGATGAACTACATCCAAGGAACAGATGGATAAGCTGCGATATGTACGATATAACTATCAGGAAAAAGGTATTTCGCGGTATACTACTGGGTGGCATTTTGTCACTTTTACTCTGGGTTATCACGATTAATAGCCTCCTAAGGACCCTAACTGATAAAGGACTTAAAACTGCTATGCAGATGATGTCGTAATACTTTTAAATGGAAAGGATCCAAATAACTTATGTAAAAGAGCTGTGGAGGCTCTGAATACGGCCTTGAGCTGGGCTCAACCGAGAGGCCTCAATGTTAAAATCTGTCTTTTCACAAGAAAGATAAAAATTTCTACGTATACTGAACCCTGCTTCCTAGGCATGAAGATACCAGTGACAAAGTTCAAAGTCCATTAATTCAACTACCCCCACCACCTACCGGTTTGGGGTTTTTAACTCATAACTATGTCAAATATACTACTATCTCACCAAAAATGTATAGAGGCATAAACGACTATGCCAATTTTTATAATGATCGGCCGCCCCCATACAACCCCCCTTTAAAAAATATCTTAAACGTCCAAAAATTGACTTGTAACCATTAGTGATGAAATTCTGCATAACTAACATCCCTCTTCCCAATTTGTTGAGTATCTGCCCATATTTAAACCTAACTCCCATAAAAAGCTTCTTTTAAAAATTTTGTTTTTCATCAATAAATTGCTTTAATACATCGGAATTAAGGTAAAATTCAACATAATATTTTTTTTATGAAAAATAAATAATTTTTAAAATATACCCATGATGTAGGGTACAATATAGTCGGCCATGCCCGACTATACTTTCATACTTGTTAGTTATTTAAATCATACTGAAATTACCGCTAAAATATATTTTTTGTACACTACCGATAACGCTAAAATATCAATACCGAAATAAACCAAAATACCGATAACGCTAAAATATCAATACCTAAATTAGTCAAAATACCGATAACGCTAAAATACCTATACCGAAATAAGCCAAAATACCGATAACGCTAAAATACCAATACCTAAATAACTCAAAATGCCGATACCGCTACCTTATCACCGTTTCGAAACGGTTGCCAACCTTGCACAAAAGGCAATGAAACTCACAGACAAGGCGAATTCAGATAAGGTGGTGTTATTCAATCAGCTGATAATTTTTTTCTTAATTCTCCTGGTTTATGCAGCTGTCAAAGTTTGTTATTGTTTACATTTTTATATTTAAAAATTTCCGTTAAACGGAGAAAAACTTCGTTAATATTTTGAATTATTTATGTAAAAAATCTAAAAATACCAAGCATCTCGTAAACAAATATCATTTTATTTAAATAATGGCATATTTGGTATGTATATAAATATGTTATTTAGGAAAAATATTTTTTTTCTATTAAATGTTAACATATTAAACAATATTGTTTTATATTTTGTATTATCATTGTGTAGATAACGTGATTAATTAAAAAAATCTCTTCCGGAACACTTAATATTAAGAAACGCATATGAAGTATTTACCCGGCTGGCGGCAGCTGACTTCTACGTTATGGCTTAATTTTGAAATCTCTTAAATGTTAACAAATTAAACAATATTGTTTTATATATACACTATGAAGATAAAGAGATTAACTAAAAAAAAGTCTGTTCCGGAACGCTTTATATAACAAAACCCATATAAAGTATTTACCCGTCCGGCGGCTGCTACATTATGGCCAAATATTGAAAATTACTCCGCCGGAGTAGAATTATCCATTCGCAACAAATATTCATTCATTCGTAATATAATATTTTCATGAATATGTCCTTTTTTAGGTTTATTTTTCACAAAAAATTAAGTTTTACTTAACTTCAGGCACTCACTTAAATTTTGCAAATAAATCTGCCGGAATAGAATTTTTCGTTTGAAACAAACATTATTCAATTCAGAATATATTTTCCTCACAAATTTTAATATCTTTATCTTTATTTTTTAATAAAATATAAACTTTTTACAAAAATTTTTCATCAAATGAATTCGCCGTACTTATGGGTTTTGACATCTACGCAAACCAAATGCAAAAACAAAATACATGTAAAATGTTGTTGTTGCAGAACTGCCACCACCTTATCTGAATTCGCCTTGATTGTTAACATTGTTTACGTCGCATTTTTCAATTGCATTTTGCTATTTGTATCTCCGTTGTTTATGGACGGATTTTGCTGATTTTAAATAGGAAACTTCTTGAAAGCATGTCTGATAGAAATATTGAAGATTTGAATCCCGAAGTCTTCAGAAAACAGATTTCAATAGACAGATGGACATGGCTTAATCGACTCCGCTATCTATAAGGATTCAGAATTAGGGTTCTATAAATCGACTTTCAAATAATCGAACAATCGACTTTTTGTCGAAAAAAGTCGAAAAGTCGAAGTCGACTATTTTGTTCCAAAAAAGTCGATAACTCGACTATCGTCTATGAAAAAAGTCGACTTTGTAAATAAAAGTCGAAAAGTCAAAAAATCGGAAAGTCGAAGAAAGTCGAAAAAAGTCGAAAAGTCGGAAAAAGTCGAAAAGAGTCGAAAATTTTAAAAAAGTGGAAAAGAGGTCGAAAACTCTAAAATAGTCGGAAAAACTCGAAAAAAGTAAAAAAATAGTCGAAATAAATCGAAAATAGTCAAAAAGTCGTAAAAAATCAAAGTCGGAAAAGTAGAAAAAAGTCGGAAAAAGTCGAAAAGTCGGAAAAAGTCGAAAAATCGACAATTTATAAAATACTAAGTCGACTTTTAAATAAATGAAAAAGGTCGAAAAGTCGAAAAATCGACTTTTCATAAAATGGAAAAAGTCGAAAGGTCGAAAAGTCGACTTTTAACTAAATGCAAAAAGTCGACTTTTCGTTTCAACTATAGAACCCTATTCAGAATATACTTTATAGGGTCGAAAAATAATATTGTAGAAATTACAAACGGAATGACTAACTTATATATATTCTTCTTATGAAGATGAAGGGTATAAAAAGTGAACTTTTGCTCAAGTTTGAAAATTGCTAGATGGTGTGATGACGCGTTTTTTTTTTTTTTTTTTTTTGAAGAATTGGAAAATTAGGCATTTTGCTTATTCATTATAGTCTAGTTGACAGTCTATAGATTTGGCTATGGACTATACTGTAAATTAGACTATGGACTATTTACCTTAATTAAGGATGGAATGAGTTAATAATTGGAATTTCAACGTTTATAAGTCATGAAAATTTCAAAAAATCGGTTCAGATAACTATCTGAACTATACGACTGTCGAGCTCGAGTTTGGAACTCTTAAAAAGTTTTCTATGAATTTCTTATCAAAGATTTATAAATTTTTGTTAAATAAAAATTGGTATGCTTAATTTGTCTTTTCATTTTCTATCTTTTTTTCAGATCAAAAGCATTTTTAAAATTTTCATTTAAAAGAATTACAACATTTTTATTGACCAAATAGTCATTTTATAATTATGATTACTAGGATGCACTCATTACATTCATAAGGTAGACAAGATAATAGTACTAAGTTAACTTAAGTGCAAAAATATTCTACATTTTATATATGTACATATGTACATAGTTTAAAATTAGTTAAAAATTACATACACACTACATGCAAATATTAACTACAAATTAAAAGTATTTTGATTAGAAATTGGTATTGACTGGAATTCCTCTTCGTTGTAAACGCAGCATAAATCTGCAATACGTTCATCAAATTGTACGAGATGTTCAGGTTTTAAAAAACGTATCGTAGCATTCAGCACGTATAATAAGTTTGGTTTACCAAATATTCCAAATAATACATCCAACAGATTGTCAATGGTATCATTATTATCTTTGTAGTCCACCAAAGCCTTTGTGAAATTATTGTAGTCAGTGACAGGTAAAATACGGCGAATATATCCCATGAAGCCAGCTCTGCTTTTAGGTACCTTCGGATTATTCACACTTTGTGTTTGGATGCTACTATTTGACAACTGAGATGATGATGATGATGACAATGGTGATGATGCGGTTGCGTCCACAGTGGTATTTGAGCTCCAACTTTGTTCTAATTTTATTTTCTTTAGGTTTATTGTTTCCCTTTTGTTTGAGCATATGGAGTTCGTTTGACTTAATGGACTGTGATCTCGTTTGTGTATTTTAACAAAATTTTGCGATGGACAACTGCTACAAGAAGGCAAAATTGTAGAATTATCAATAGCACTCGATAGTTTACTGCCACATGTTTGTTCGGTAGTTGATGTAGAGTCGTTAGATGATGGTATTGACTGTTCTTCTTGGTCTTCTATTATAATGATCTCATTGGGAGCATTTTGAAAATTATTTTCTTTTGCTGTAGTTTTACTAGTATTTGGAATATATTTACTATGATGTACTTCTGTATCAACTTCTTCGAAATGATTGCTAATCGAAGTCTCAGCATCGTCGTAAGGTGTTTCTAATTCTATTGCATTCTCTTTCTTTATTTTAATGATATCATTGTTGGCATTTTGAAATTTAGTTTGGTTTACTTCACTTTGAGCAGATGCTGGAAAATATTTCCTAAAAAGAGTTTGTGTGTCCAGAACATTATCACTTATTGATGTTTCAACTTCATCATGTATTACATCATTTTGGTCTTTAAAAATATCGCTTATCGAAGTTTCTACATAGTCTTTAGGTGACCCAGATGGTACAGAATATTCATCATCTTCTATCACAATGATCTCATTGTGGACACTTTGATATCTATTCTCGTTTCGCATTATTTCTTTAGAATCTTGAACAGTATCAATTATCGAAGGTTCAGTATTATAGTCTTTAGGCGACATTGGCTGTTTTTCTTCCGTTAAAATAACCTCACTCAATATTTCTTTAGAACCTGGAGGATATTTGCCCTGAACAACTTCTGCATCATCAGACTTTTGAGTAAGATCAGATATCAGTGATTTATTGCAGCATTTCTGTGACTTACCTGCACTTATCCCTATATATTTATAGAAATCTGTCAATTCCTTTACCAAAGGACCAAATGCTGAACTATTAGGGCTAGTTCCTAAAATATCTCGTACCCATTTGGATAGTTGTTTTACTTGGGTTGGCCGTTGGAAACGTATGTCACACAGCAAAATTGCACCATAATCATTATGATGACGTATAACGCGACCTATGGCCTGATTAACTGCACGTGTGGCCTCCAATGAATACCAAGCTGTACCTGTAAGTAGCTCATTTTCTCTTGTACGATTTTCATTTTCTCTTGTATGATTTTCATCCAAATATTTACGTTTTAAAATAACTTTGGGATCTTTTAATGGAGGAAGTGGTAAACCAGTTATAATAACGGCTCGACCATTGCGGTCTGCAAAATCAAGACCTTCAGACACTTTGCCACGGCAAACCGCCAGGAAACAAGCTCCTTTTGAATTGTTTATGCTATCATAAAATGACTCCATGATCTTAATAAATTCATCTTTACCTCTAGGCTCTATAAATATTGGTTTGTGACGTGATATTTCGGCCCATAAACCAGAAGCCCGCCAAGTGTTTGCACACTGATTAAGTAAAGGATACGAGGGAAAGAAAACCAATAAACCATCGGGTACAATACGGGCTACATTTAAAATAGTAGAACCCAACGAATGTATATATTTTGGATTACCACGATTTTTATAGTCGGATTCCAATCGTTCATTATCTGGGCCATAACCTAATATTTTGCAATAAACCTGCGAGGATGGCACTATATGAGGATTCTCCAGACGCTGGCCTACCGGTAAGCATAACTCAGCTATTAGAGGTTTTATGGGCGATAAAGTACCACTGGTTAAGATGACACTTCTTGGATTTCTTTTCAGTAACTGTTCCATGCCAAATCCTGGATTTAAACACCAATAATTTATAATTTTCGTTGCTTTAGTTGTTGTCGTTCTTTTACCTTGCCTTACCCAGCCATTTACTCCGTATGGTTGTTTAGGTTCCTCGATCTGGACATGTACCTTAAAACTACGATAAACCTTGTGCATACTCTCTTTGTCGCAGTTAAAAACAGTATCCAAAAATTTGGATACTTTTAAAACACTATCACCCTTTCGAAGCAAATGATTATTTTGCGATTCTATCACCATGAGTTGTACCAATTTGTCTAAAAGATCTATAATAACTTTTGAGGATTCGAAATTTAAATTCGCCTGAGACAGTAAATCGAAAATGTACTCTGCCTGAAATGTATCTCCTTCTCGTTCATTTACCTTTATATTATCTATAGCCTCTTGAAGTTTTAAAAGCATTTCATTAAGGAAATCCAAATCACTTACTTTTAAATCCGATTCACTTTTTTTTAGATCAATTTTTCCCAAATTCACGGCTTCTCGAACTTGGAGTGTGTCTTCTATGGCCACAGCAACATCGCTTGATTTAATATAAGCCGAAGCGGATTCTTCACATATCTTTTCAATATTATGCGCTTCATCCAAAATGCAAATGGAATTCGATATTTCAATTTTATTTGCTTTGCGGGCAGAATGTTCGAACAAATAGTTGTAGGGCATGAAAACAATATCGGCTTCTTCAACCAGTTGTTTGGCGGCATAATAAGGGCACATTTTAAGTTGTTGCCCTACTTTTACCAGATCTTCAATATCCATTATAGAACTATCACAAAAATCGGCAACAGTTTTGCGCGACTCGTTGCGTAGTAGAAACGAACATTTGTGATTCTGAACAAGATATTTGCACATTTGAATTTTATTTGCATTTTCCTGTTCTGCCATTACATTAGGATTTATACAGAGTTGATCTCTAGAGCCTAAAACTACCGCATTCATAAAAGAATAAGAGGTCCTCTTTAGCTCCTGCACAGCTTGTGCCAGTTGTGAGTGGGTTCTTGAAGCATAAATGATCTTTGGTGCTTTCACAATTTCTTTTTCTCCTTTTTGTTCCTTTATTTCGTTTCTGTTGTCATCATCTGGTTCCGGTATGGTATTTTGCACATTTGCTTTAAGTTCCTCTTTCTTTGATAGAAGCCATGCCAATGAAGAGCAAAGAAGACTTAATGTTTTGCCAGTGCCAGTTGGTGATTCTAAGACGCCATTGGTACTGTCGCGCAAACACAAGATCACCTTTTCCATATAGTTACGCTGTACCTCATATGGTTCGAAAGGGAATTTTATCACTGTACCGGCAATTATATACTCTGGCATTTTGTCTTCAATTTGTACCACCACTTTCACTAGTAACTTTAGTGGTTTTTTATTTTAATAGAAATTTTTGCAAACTTTACAATTATTCATTGATGTTTCTCTTCTTCCGTATTTTATGTTAGAATTTATATACACATGTACGTAAATCCAAATGGTTTTAAAATATATTCTTTTTACTAAAGTAAATACATAAATATGTATGTTGTATATACATTAGGGTGGTGACTAATTTAATTTTTTTTTATTTACGATTACTCTACACGAATTTCGATAACACTATGTTTGATTTTTTTTTTTAAAGTTATAAAATATACATATGTATGTATATTATTTTGTTATTGAAAATAACATAATTGTTTATTGAAAAAGTTTTTAAGTGTAAATACTAAAAATATTGATTGATTTGGCCTGTTTGTGAGATCTAGAAGATTAAAAAAATGTAATTAATTATTTGTTTGTCTCTGAAGAACTTCTTTCTTTTTAAGAGGAGGCATCATGATGGTCTCCTGGAAGAATGCCCACAAGCCACCACCCCCTAGTCACCTAGGCGTGTGGTGGTCGGTCGGCTAGTGGTGACATGGTATATTATCACCTAGAGGCAATGGACGGATGTTGATTGCCGTATCCAGGGGTTACCACAAGGATACATACTTATTATTATACCATTGATCTCAGCAGAATCACTACCATACACCCATAATAGAGCGCGATGGTGTGTCTTTCAGTGAAGGCCGATTATTTACAAGAAATAATTGGTAACCTGGCTAGGTCGTCGTCTTATATATGTATGTAGATGTTGTTTGGGCAAAATATTGGTACTAACCATTGTGGGCTTTTTGTCGACTTTAGATCCCTTATAATTGTCACACTATACCCAATAAGCATTCTTGCTGGAATTAAATTTTAAAACAAGTTTAATTCCAGTCAAACATTCAAATTTCAAGTGTTGAAATATACTTTCATTACATTTTAATTCAATAGCATTCTCCAGTGAAAAGGAAACTTAAATTCAAGTCGAACATTACAATGTTTTTACAGTATAATTCAAGGCACGAAATCTATATATATTACATATGTATATAAAATTCTAACGTTACTGACTGACTGATTCATCATCGCACAGGCTAAACGGTTGAAGCTAAAGTGCTGAAATTTAGACAGGAGGTTGGTATCCCACTAAATAGATCCACTAAGACGGGATTTTTGGAAATTCGAATGTTTAGGGGGTAAATTCGGTAACCTCATATCTCATAAACTAGAAAAGATACAAAAACAGTTTAAAGCTTATCGTCGTTCATTTAAAAAAAAGACGTACAGGTGTCTGGTACTTTTTTCAAATTCGGCCCCTTTAGGGAATAAACGGATAAAAACTGTATTTTGGTACTTTTTTTCACCCCATGTATCTTTTAAATCAGTGAACATTCAAACAATATTTTTGACTCCTTCATAACTTGACGAAAAAATAAAAATATGAATTTAGTACTTTTTTGATATTCGGACGTTTAAGGGGTGAAAATTGTACCTATTTTTGGTACTTTTTTCATAAAACATTGTTATTGGTTTATTAACTGCCGGTCCACATAGGAAACTTTTTTTGGGAAAATTTTTGATTTTGCGTGAGAGAGAATGAATATCATTCATCTCTCTAGCGGTACGGAGTTTCCCGTACTCGGAAACTTGTTTTGTTTTGTTATTCTTCTCATTCGTACAACAACAAACCAATGCAATTAATACGTAGTTTCTGAAACAAAAGTTTCTATGTGTGGACATTAAGGAAACTTCAAAAGAGAATTAAGAAAAAGTTCCTCTACAAAAGTTTGCTAGTGTGGACCAGGTCTAACTTATACATACATAGAATACATAATAACGGGCTCCCACTACGATGTTGCAATTTTTTGGAATAGAATTTTTGTTTCGTTAATGGGGAGAAACAAATTACCAATTTAGGTAAAATTTTTAGATTTAGAAACACTAAATATGCTAATGGGGTGTTATTTTTAAACCCCGGTACCAAGTAAAATTTTTTGGTACTTTTTCATTCTCCAACTGGTACTTTTTGAGTTTTCTATGACATTGAAATCGAAACATGAAATTAATAATAAAGAGACTTTTCGGTACTTTTTCGTTCTACACAGGTACTTTTTTCGTTTTTAAACGAAAAATTTACTCGGATTCGGTTTACAGAACAGACAGGACAATGTAATATTATTTAGCCCAAATTATTTTTTTTATTACTGAATAAATAAATAAATAAATAAATAAAATATCTTTGTTTTTACGTTATTGATCATTTTCTTAATGCAACATTTTTTAGAAACTGATTTTCCGCAAGATGTTTTATATGGAGTATAGGGTCAAATATAGGCCGATCCCCGTAAAACTTGGAGAAAGGTTTTGTTTTTAATTTTTAAGCATTTTTTATCCATTCCTGCATAATTTCTCACACAACTTTTGTGCTTGCTCTCTGTTTTGTTATAAACAATATATTTGCTTCCAAAATCCCACTTTCTGATCTCTCGGATTCAGTTTTTATTTAAAATCGTTGAAAATTTAAAAACTAAACGTAGTTGAAAACTTAGCCGGCTTACAGTAGATTTTGAGCCGCCGACATATTTTGTCGCCGGCGGCGCAGGGCTCTGCATCGGACGCCTTGGGCGCAACGCCATTTTCTTTTTTTCTTCGTATAACATCGGACGTCAAGGCGTTGTCATCATAATTTTTCAGTAGACTTTTGCATGAGAAGAAGAAAATCCAAAATTTTTTATTTAATTTATTTAAAACAATAAAAAAGTGCTTAAAATTAAAATAAATTGCAAAATAGTTTTGAAAAAACAAATTGGAAACTTCTCTTTCAAAAAAATTACAGCAAATAAACGAATTTTTGTTAAAATATTAACTGGGAAGAACTGAAACAGATTTCTTTTTCTTCGTTTTACGAAAGGAAATCAAACAAATATAAAAATGTAGGTACCAAAGAAATTAAAAAAAGTTAAATCCAAAATTTTATAACGTTTGCCAAAGAAAACAAAAATTGTTTAAAATTTAAAAAAAAATAAAGGAAAACATTTCTGGTTATTTGTGCGTATTGGAAAAAAAAAAGTTATATTTGTTTAAAAAATTTGAAGAGAAGAAAAGTTAAAATATGATGATGATTGTGTATATGTGTGGAGCATGTTTATGCGAGAGTGTGTGTTTAATAAGAAATAAAACAACAATAAAAATTGAATGATTAAGGTGGAATGTATACATACGGTTTTTTGTATTTTCTTTTTAACAAACAGTCATAAGGGTTGTGTGAGGGGAGGGAGCAGAAGGAAGGGCAAACTCATACACAGGGTGTTGCCGCCTGCTCTTTGTAGTCATATAAATTATCGTCTTCATTTTGCAGTAAGATTATTATGAAAAGTTTTAATTATTAAAATAAAACTAAGATTATACCAAAAATTAAATTTAAAAGTTTAACAAAATATACAATAATTCATGTGTTTTCGGTTTTATTTAATTTAGTTCATTTGCAGACAACTAGTGGAACGGTTGTGTTGTTAAAATTCTTGCAATTAGCAAACAAAAAAACGAATATAATTAAAATAAATAAAAAATACGAAATAAACTTCGCCTTCGTCAAGTAATACGTCAACCTTAAAACAAACACACGCACACACATAACTAATCATCATCATCACCATCGAAGAGTGTGTAAAGCAGAATGAAGATGATGACAAAAGAGACATTTATTTGGAAATAAATTGTAAACAAAAAAAAAACACAATTTGCTTTTTGCTGGACCAAATCGAACTAGAAAGAGACAATGAAAGGGAATTAACAATAAAAGTCACAATTAAGGAGCGAGCACCAATATAACGTTTATTTTGTCTGTCTCGTTTTTTTTTCTTTTGTCATCGTCTCGTAATAAAGGTGTTTCAACAGAGTTACCATATTAAAGTGAAAAACGTCAAAAACTACGCTGTTGTGTTGTAATAAAATAAATTTCAGTGAAGAGATTTTACAAAAAAGTGAATTAAACATATTTTAAGACAATTTTTGTAATATAAAAAGTCTTAACTTTTTGGGGCAACAAAATTGTTGTTGCTGTTAATCATAGTTTAAAAAACCAGTAGGAAAAATGTCTTTATTTTCATCATGTTTTCCTGACAGTGGGTGTTCTTTTGTTTTCCTTTTTTTGAAATTATTTACGAAATAGATATAAATACAAACATTTTCGTTTTTCTTTCAGAACCAATGACGACGATTCGCAAAAAGTTGGTTATTGTTGGCGATGGTGCCTGTGGTAAAACCTGCTTATTGATTGTCTTTAGCAAAGATCAATTTCCCGAAGTTTATGTACCCACTGTATTTGAAAATTATGTGGCCGACATTGAAGTAGATGGAAAACAGGTAAGGAGCCTATTTTCTACATTATTATACTTGCAGTTAGTAGGTTTTTCTTGAAGTCGAATATTTTATCCTAGTAAATTCGCTAGTCGATCGGTTACTTGTAAGAATAAAGTTAAAGTCGTTTTTGTACATTAAAATTGGGAAAGTTAAAAGAATTCGAAAAGTTAAAAGAAAATTGATAGGTATTAAAAATTAAAAAAAACACTTTTATGGAGTATCCCCATAATTTTGTCCACTATGATCAACATTGTTACAAAGTATGGTCTTAAAAATTTCAATTTAAAATGATTTTGTTATAAAACGATATTTAAAAAAAAAAAATCGATAAAATAAATAAACTTTTAACCTATATGATATATTACATCTGAGATGACCCATCAATTATTTATGGACCAATTAGGTCCATAGGTAGTTTGGTCTAGATTATTACATATGGCCTAGTCTATAGCATAGTTTACTATCTATCTATATGATCTATCGAATGTATTTTTCTATGATATACATGTGTATATTCTCTAGGGAATGTTCTATGATATTGTTTAATTGTAGGCTAGTTTGTGGTATAATCAATTGCAGGGATTGTACAAAATAGCATTTAAAAAGTGTACTTTTTTGAATCCGATTATACCAAATCTATATTTTTGAAAATTTATATTAAAATAAAATTACATTCAAATCGACTTCTTCAGCCAGTCAGAACTAATCAATATTTGTATGTATCATAAAGCAAGTTCATTAGTCAATGCACTAGTCCATTGATTAGGCAATAGGTTATTCTATAGAATAGACGGGAGACTAGTCTATAACTATGTAGACAGTAAACTAGTATTTTTATACTAGCCAAAGACTTCTTAGAATAGTCCTTGAAATACTTTAAACGTCTAGTTAAAAGTACTTCAGAACTATAGATTAGTCATTGGACTAGTCAATAAATAACAGCATTTAGTCTATAGACTTGTTCTTAGACTAGGCAATAGATAAGATGGAGTAGTCTAAACTAGACAAGGGAATAGTCTTTAGATTAGACATTAGATTAGATACTAGTCTACTAGACTAGAATAGAAAAGCAATCGGATAAAAAAATAATAATAAAAGGTATTCTCTTTGTTAAATGTTGTCTAGTTATAAACTCTTCCAGGATTCGTTACAATTTCCTCCTCCGACGTTTAGAAAAAATTTTACTGAAGCTGGTAGTTCTTTGAACTTTGTGTTAAAAGTAAAATTTTTAAATTATTATTTCAATAAGGGAATGTTTTTTAAAATTTTACCAAAAAAAGTACAATTGTATCAATTTTGCCAACCCTGATTAGTAGTCTAATTTTCCATTGTTATAGAAGACAATTTCACACTTCTTTTCCTCTTTAATTTTATCAAATTTCGAACCTTTTAGTATATAATCTACTTTATGATCTATATGATTAACAAGACTATATTCTAGTCTATGATGTATTTCATGTTCTAGTCTAGTATGTATCGCATAATTTATGGTGTAGACCTTGGTCTAGTCTGTGGTCTCTTGTATGATATTGTGAAGCTTTTAATATAATGTTGGGCAATAGTATTATCTATCTGCTGGTCTCAAGTCTGCTCCTATTCATAATTTTAGTCATTCAACTTTCATTAAAAGCTATTTTTATTTTTTTAGGAAATCAATTAGAATTGAATTAGAACAGAACTGAACTAGAACTGAACTAGAACTGAACTAGAACTGAACTAGAACTGAACTAGAACTGAACTAGAACTGAACTAGAACTGAACTAGAACTGAACTAGAACTGAACTAGAACTAGAACTGAACTAGAACTGAACTAGAACTGAACTAGAACTGAACTAGAACTGAACTAGAACTGAACTAGAACTGAACTAGAACTGAACTAGAACTGAACTAGAACTGAACTAGAACTGAACTAGAACTGAACTAGAACTGAACTAGAACTGAACTAGAACTGAACTAGAACTGAACTAGAACTGAACTAGAACTGAACTAGAACTGAACTAGAACTGAACTAGAACTGAACTAGAACTGAACTAGAACTGAACTAGAACTGAACTAGAACTGAACTAGAACTGAACTAGAACTGAACTAGAACTGAACTAGAACTGAACTAGAACTGAACTAGAACTGAACTAGAACTGAACTAGAACTGAACTAGAACTGAACTAGAACTGAACTAGAACTGAACTAGAACTGAACTAGAACTGAACTAGAACTGAACTAGAACTGAACTAGAACTGAACTAGAACTGAACTGAACTGAACTAGAACTTTTCTTTATAATTCATAATTTTTGAAAAATTTCTTTCAATAAAAGCAACTTTTATGTTTTTTTAGAAAATGATGAAATGATTTTTGAATAAGTAAAAAATAAAAAATGTCTCAAATATTAATTTTTCCAAGAATATTTTTTAAAACTATTTGAAAGCAATAAAATCTAGATTCCAACGAAATATTAGTTTTTAATAATAAACATTCTTGTAGAGATGCAAATCACAAAAATATAAACAATACGTTTTCAATATTACAAAAAAGAAACATTCAATTGGTTTTAGATAGACACCGGGTGACAGAGGCAAAGTCTTAGTAGTCATCGTTTCTTTAGCATTATATACTATATTAAAGCACTTTCAATAAAAATAAACATACAAAGTACAAAGAAAATTGGAAATGAAATAAAAAAAACAAACACACAGAAATAACACACAATAAAGAAATGCGCAGACAACTTTATTCAAATGCGGTTGTTTAACTAGACATTAAATAAAATTATGAATATACTAGAGAGATCACTCACTCACTCACTACAGCTCACAAGATCCAAAACAAATACAACATGGAAAGGGAACAATTAGGGAGAGGGGGTCCTGAAAAGATAGGGGAGGGGCTTACTTTTTTATGTAAAAACGAAAACAAACAAAGAGGTGGTGTGATGCATTTATAAACTATTATTATAATTATTAAAAATTTAATTAAAACCTTATTATAATGTTCTTTACTATTATTTGATTTCCTTTACTTTGGTTATGGCTAGGTTAAGTGTTTTTTGTTTGTTTGTTTTTGTTAAAGCAATTGAGTCATAACTAATTTCTATTAACTTTATCAAAAATTAAACAAAACCGTATAAATTTCCCCCTCTAACATACAAATGAACAACAACAGCTGTAGTTGATCTTTTTCATTAGAACTACAAAGAGTAACACTAACAAAGTGAGTGAATGAGAGAGGGATTTGGAATGTATGTTTTTAAGAATCATCAATATTTAATTATAATCAAATATGGCTAAAATATAACTATTGATTTATTGTTAAAGAAAGAATTTAAATTGTCTTAACAAAGTTTAACAATTATGTTAAAAATTGTTCCTACGTTTTCCTTACGTTTTCATCTATTTTGTAATACCGGGTATTTTTTTTTTTTTTAATTTTTTGTTTACTTTAATTCAACAACAAAAATAACAAATTAATATAAACTTTCATACTCACACACCTTAGACATGCGAATCATGACTTCATTTTTTAACATTTTTTCTTTGCTTTTCTTTTGGTTTCGTCAAGACGACACTAAATGAGTATAAGTTAGGGGAATGCTTTTCTTTTTAAATGTTCAATAAATACGTAATCCCATCGACCTGAGATTTGTGAATGGAATGTTTATAAGTTTAATTTTGAAAATTTTATTTTAATTTATTATAATATTGTTCCTAAGATTTTAAATTATATTATTTCACTAGATGTAATGATGTCCGTCCAGCTTACAATTCTTGTAGATAACTCAGTGAAGAAATTTGTTAGGGAACTAATACAACATTTTTTCCACAAATTCCCCCTAAAAACATCTCTACAAAACTGTTTATTAGAGGTCATACATTTAATTTTTTCTAATTGTTCTGTTATAATCTTAAATGAAAATAATTTCAAAACAAAACTTAGATAAAATTGTGGTATTTTTTGTAAACTTTTAAGTTTTTTGTTTACTTCTATGAACTTTGAAAAGTTGTTGCTTTATGATTATTAAAATCCTTGATTTGAAATTAAAAAAAAGTAAACAATAAAACAATGCGGTTTTTTATATTTTTCTTAAATTTTATTTATCAGTTAGAAAAAATAAGAATTTTCAAAATTCACTTCTAGTTCAGTTCTATTTCAATTCTAGTTCAGTTCTAGTTCAGTTCTAGTTCAGTTCTAGTTCAGTTCTAGTTCAGTTCTAGTTAGTTCAGTTCTAGTTCAGTTCTAGTTCAGTTCTAGTTCAGTTCTAGTTCAGTTCTAGTTCAGTTCTAGTTCAGTTCTAGTTCAGTTCTAGTTCAGTTCTAGTTCAGTTCTAGTTCAGTTCTAGTTCAGTTCTAGTTCAGTTCTAGTTCAGTTCTAGTTCAGTTCTAGTTCAGTTCTAGTTCAGTTCTAGTTCAGTTCTAGTTCAGTTCTAGTTCAGTTCTAGTTCAGTTCTAGTTCAGTTCTAGTTCAGTTCTAGTTCAGTTCTAGTTCAGTTCTAGTTCAGTTCTAGTTCAGTTCTAGTTCAGTTCTAGTTCAGTTCTAGTTCAGTTCTAGTTCAGTTCTAGTTCAGTTCTAGTTCAGTTCTAGTTCAGTTCTAGTTCAGTTCTAGTTCAGTTCTAGTTCAGTTCTAGTTCAGTTCTAGTTCAGTTCTTCAGTTCTAGTTCAGTTCTAGTTCAGTTCTAGTTCAGTTCTTGTTCCGTTCTTGTTCAGTTCTAGTTCAGTTCTAGTTCAGTTCTAGTTCAGTTCTAGTTCAGTTCTAGTTCAGTTCTAGTTCAGTTCTAGTTCAGTTCTAGTTCAGTTCTAGTCAGTTCTAGTTCAGTTCTAGTTCAGTTCTAGTTCAGTTCTAGTTCAGTTCTAGTTCAGTTCTAGTTCAGTTCTAGTTCAGTTCTAGTTCAGTTCTAGTTCAGTTCTAGTTCAGTTCTAGTTCAGTTCTAGTTCAGTTCTAGTTCAGTTCTAGTTCAGTTCTAGTTCAGTTCTAGTTTCAGTTCTAGTTCAGTTCTAGTTCAGTTCTAGTTCAGTTCTAGTTCAGATCTAGTTCAGATCTAGTTCAGTTCTAGTTCAGTTCTAGTTCAGTTCTAGTTCAGTTCTAGTTCAGTTCTAGTTCAGTTCTAGTTCAGTTCTAGTTCAGTTCTAGTTCAGTTCTAGTTCAGTTCTAGTTCAGTTCTAGTTCAGTTCTAGTTCAGTTCTAGTTCAGTTCTAGTTCAGTTCTAGTTCAGTTCTAGTTCAGTTCTTGTTCAGTTCTTGTTCAGTTCTTGTTCAGTTCTAGTTCAGTTCTAGTTCAGTTCTAGTTCAGTTCTAGTTCAGTTCTAGTTCAGTTCTAGTTCAGTTCTAGTTCAGTTCTAGTTCAGTTCTAGTTCAGTTCTAGTTCAGTTCTAGTTCAGTTCTAGTTCAGTTCTAGTTCAGTTCTAGTTCAGTTCTAGTTCAGTTCTAGTTCAGTTCTAGTTCAGTTCTAGTTCAGTTCTAGTTCAGTTCTAGTTCAGTTCTAGTTCAGTTCTAGTTCAGTTCTAGTTCAGTTCTAGTTCAGTTCTAGTTTAGTTCTAGTTCAGTTCTAGTTCAGTTCTAGTTCAGTTCTAGTTCAGTTCTAGTTCAGTTCTAGTTCAGTTCTAGTTCAGTTCTAGTTCAGTTCTAGTTCAGTTCTAGTTCAGTTCTAGTTCAGTTCTAGTTCAGTTCTAGTTCAGTTCTAGTTCAGTTCTAGTTCAGTTCTAGTTCAGTTCTAGTTCAGTTCTAGTTCAGTTCTAGTTCAGTTCTAGTTCAGTTCTAGTTCAGTTTAGTTCAGTTCTAGTTCAGTTCTAGTTCAGTTCTAGTTCAGTTCTAGTTCAGTTCTAGTTCAGTTCTAGTTCAGTTCTAGTTCAGTTCTAGTTCAGTTCTAGTTCAGTTCTAGTTCAGATCTAGTTCAGTTCTAGTTCAGTTCTAGTTCAGTTCTAGTTCAGTTCTAGTTCAGTTCTAGTTCAGTTCTAGTTCAGTTCTAGTTCAGTTCTAGTTCAGTTCTAGTTCAGTTCTAGTTCAGTTCTAGTTCAGTTCTAGTTCAGTTCTAGTTCAGTTCTAGTTCAGTTCTAGTTCAGTTCTAGTTCAGATCTAGTTCAGTTCTAGTTCAGTTCTTGTTCAGTTCTAGTTCAGTTCTAGTTCAGTTCTAGTTCAGTTCTAGTTCAGTTCAGTTCTAGTTCAGTTCTAGTCGTTCTACTCCATTTCCAATTTAATTCTAGTTCAGTTTCAGTTTAGAAAAAAGTAAGCTTTTACTTCTTTCTTAGTTTTCAGCTGTAAAAATAAAACGTTTTAAATTTCTTATTACACACACTAACTACTTCACTTTACTGCATTCATTACCTCTCTCTGTCTACCACTTTTTTATTTATTTATTAAAAAACAAAACTTTTTTTTTTTGCTACCAATGATGTGATGATTAATAATTATGGTATTTCCTCTTTAATTGCCAATATTCCAGAATATAAAACAAAACATGAAACGAAAAAAAAACAGCAATTTTGTAGATGTATGTAATTTATTTCTACATACAAACAAACATATATTTATATACATATTTATTTATTTATAGCTACATATATATCATTTTATTATTTATTTATTTACTATCATAGTCTGATGAGTATTGATTTTTATTATGATTTTCTTATCTTTTTGTTGTTAAAAAGAGCAGCAAAACACAATAAAAAAATTATTTTTTTTTAAATAAATTTTATAATTTCTGTTTAATTTGCAGTGTAAATTTTTAATTGATTTTCTTGGTTTGATTTCATTTATAGGTTGAGCTGGCCTTATGGGATACAGCTGGTCAAGAGGATTATGACAGACTTCGACCACTCCAGTTATCCAGATACAGATGTTATTTTAATGTGTTTCTCTGTTGATTCACCTGATTCATTAGAAAATATTCCTGAAAAATGGACACCAGAGGTAAAAATATGAAGGTTTTTTGCTTTATAACTTTTTGAAACTTTTTATTAAAATGAAACCGATCTGAAGGATTTAAAAATAAATCTAAAAAAATTCAACTTTTACGTTTTGACCATAGACTAGACTATAGACTAGACTATAGACTAGACTATTGACTATACGACTAGATAGACTTGACTAGACATAGACTAGACTAGGACTATAGACTAGACTATAGACTAGACTATAGACTAGACTATAGACTAGACTAGACTATAGACTAGACTATAGACTAGACTATAGACTAGACTATAGACTAGACTATAGACTAGACTATAGACTAGACTATAGACTAGACTATAGACTAGACTATAGACTAGACTATAGACTAGAATATAGACTAGACTATAGACTATAGACTAGACTATAGACTAGACTATAGACTAGACTATAGACTAGACTATAGACTAGACTATAGACTAGACTATAGACTAGACTATAGACTAGACTATAGACTAGACTATAGACTAGACTATAGACTAGACTATAGACTAGACTATAGACTAGACTATAGACTAGACTATAGACTAGACTATAGACTAGACTATAGACTAGACTATAGACTAGACTATAGACTAGACTATAGACTAGACTATAGACTAGACTATAGACTAGACTATAGACTAGACTAGACTATAGACTAGACTATAGACTAGACTATAGACTAGACTATTGACTAGACTATAGACTAGACTATAGACTAGACTATAGACTAGACTATAGACTAGACTATAGACTAGACTATAGACTAGACTATAGACTAGACTATAGACTAGACTATAGACAGGACTATAGACTAGACTATAGACTAGACTATAGACTAGACTATAGACTAGACTATAGACTAGACTATAGACTAGACTATAGACTAGACTATAGACTAGACTATAGACTAGACTATAGACTAGACTATAGACTAGACTAGACTAGACTATAGACTAGACTATAGACTAGACTATAGACTAGACTATAGACTAGACTATAGACTAGACTATAGACTAGACTATAGACTAGACTATAGACTAGACTATAGACTAGACTATAGACTAGACTATAGACTAGACTATAGACTAGACTATAGACTAGACTATAGACTAGACTATAGACTAGACTATAGACTAGACTATAGACTAGACTATAGACTAGACTATAGACTAGACTATAGACTAGACTATAGACTAGACTATAGACTAGACTATAGACTAGACTATAGACTAGACTATAGACTAGACTATAGACTAGACTATAGACTAGACTATAGACTAGACTATAGACTAGACTATAGACTAGACTATAGACTAGACTATAGACTAGACTATAGACTAGACAATAGACTGACTATAGACTAGACTATAGACTAGACTATAGACTAGACTATAGACTAGACTATAGACTAGACTATAGACTAGACTATAGACTAGACTATAGACTAGACTATAGACTAGACTATAGACTAGACTATAGACTAGACTATAGACTAGACTATAGACTAGACTATAGACTAGACTATAGACTAGACTATAGACTAGACTATAGACTAGACTATAGACTAGACTATAGACTAGACTATAGACTAGACTATTAACTAGACTATAGACTAGACTATAGACTAGACTATAGACTAGACTATAGACTAGACTATAGACTAGACTATAGACTAGACTATAGACTAGACTATAGACTAGACTATAGACTAGACTATAGACTAGTATTTAGACTTGACTATAGACTAGACTATAGACTTGACTATGGACTAGACTATAGACTTGACAATAGACTAGACTATAGACTAGACTATAGACTAGACTCTAGACTGACTATAGATTAGACTATAGACTAGACTATAGACTAGACTATTAACTAGACTATAGACTAGACTATAGACTAGACTATAGACTAGACTATAGACTAGACTATAGACTAGACTATAGACTAGATTATAGACTAGACTATAGACTTGACTATACATTAGACAAAACTAGAATATTGAGGCCCGATTTTGGTTTTAATAACAATCGTCTCTTTATTCTCATTACAGGTCAAGCACTTTTGTCCAAATGTTCCCATTATTTTGGTGGGCAACAAAAAGGATTTGAGAAATGATCCTAATACCATCCGGGTAAGTTTTAATAAATCCAACACAAAGGAAAAATATTCTAAATATTTTTAATTATTTTCTTCTAGGATCTTTCAAAAATGAAACAGGAACCAGTCAAGCCGCAAGAGGGTCGTGCTATGGCTGAAAAAATTAATGCCTTTGCTTATTTGGAATGTTCGGCCAAGTCCAAGGAGGGTGTACGAGAAGTCTTCGAAACAGCTACTAGAGCTGCATTGCAAGTTAAAAAGAGGAAGAGGACCAAATGCCATTTGCTCTAAAAGAGTTTTTAACAACAACTATACAAACAAAAAAACAACTACCAACAGCAACAACAACAACAAAAGAAAATTTACTTCTAATACAAAACAACAACAAAATCAACACACAACATATAATTAAACAGCACATGGAAAATTTATCAACAAAAATTAAAAAAAAACAACAACATCAAGGAGAAAGATTTTTTTTTTTAAATATGTAATTTAATTGAGAAAAAACGTGTTACATTTTTTTGTTTTGTTTTTTTAACCAAACCGCTATTTACATTTATGTTTTCATAAATATTTTATGATTCCAAAATTTAGTTTTTCGTTTTCGCTTTTATTTTAACAAATATTTAATTTTTAACAAACAACCATAAAAACAAGTAAAAAGGGGAGTTTTAAAAGAAAAATTTAAATTATTTTTATTTATACTAAAAGAAAGGTAAATCCAAAAAAAAAACAAACAACATATTACACATTTAAAGAAAAAAAGTGAAAAGAAAATGTTTTTGCAAATCATAAAATAATTTATAAAATTACGCATACATACAAACAAACATACTAACTACATTTATATATAAAATATAAACACCTCAAACAAAAGGTACTGCTTCGACTGTATTTTTTTATTTTTATTAAAATTAAAAAAATAAATTTTGTCATTTAACAGCAAACAAGTAGAATTTGTATATTTTTATAATAAAAATAAATTTGAAATTTTATTTTTATTAACCACCTATTATACAAAGCTTACTTGTTTTGTCTCATTGTCATTGTCGTCGTACTTGTACTTGTATGTGTAAACAACTATTTTTCGTAAAAAGTTAAAAATAAAAATAATAAAATAAAAAAAAAGCTAAACAAAAAAAAAAAAAAAAATAAATGTCTAACATGTGTAAACGTTTCTCCATTTAGAAAGAAGATAAAAATTAAAAAAAAAATTCTACACAAAATAACTGATATTTTTTTAAAAATAAACAAAAATAAACACATTTAAATATTTACAATAAACAACCGCCAATTATAAAACAAAACAACAACTACAACAATACCACAAATAATGCATTCATTTTTTTCTTAATAAAAAAAAAAAAAAAATAACAAATAAAATAACAAAAAAAAAAAAAATAAAAAAAAAAATCAAAAAAAAA